CAGACTATTATCAGTAGAGAGGAGACCAGACTATTATCAGTAGAGAGGAGCCCAGACTATTATGCCGTAGAGAGGAGAAGGACTTATTTCAGGGGGACTTATTATCAGTAGAGAGGACCAGACTATTATCAGTAGAGAGGAGACCAGACTATTATCAGTAGAGAGGAGACCAGACTATTATCAGTTAAGAGAGGAGACCCAGACTATTATCAGTAAAGAGGAGACCAGACTATTATCAGTAGAGGAGGACAGGACCAGACTATTATCAGTAGAGAGGGAGACCAGAGGACCAGACTATTATCAGTAGAGAGGAGACCCAGACTATTCTCAGTAGAGAGGAGACCAGACTATTATCAGTAGAGAGGAGACCAGACTATTATCAGTAAGAGGAGACCAGACTATTATCAGTAGGAGAGGAGACCAGACTATTATCAGTAGGAGGAGACCAGACTATTATCAGTAGAGAGGAGACCAGACTATTTCAGTAGAGAGGAGACCAGACTATTATCAGTAGATAGGAGACCAGACTATTATCAGTAGAGAGGAGACCAGACTATTGTCAGGTAAAGAGGAGAACAGACTATATCAGTAAAGAGGAGAACAGACTATTATCAGTAGAGAGGAGACCAGACTATTGTCAGTAAGAGGAGACCAGACTATTGTCAGTAAAGAGGAGACCAGACTATTATCGTAGAGAGGGACCAGACTATTCATCAGTAAAGGAAAACCCAGGATTGTCAGTAAAGAGGAGACCAGATATTGTCAGTAAAGAGGAGACCAGACTATTATCAGTAGAGAGGAGACCAGACTATTATCAGTAAGAGAGGAGACAGACTATGTCAGTAAGAGGAGACCAGAGACCAGACTATATCAGATAGAGGGAGACCAGACTATTGTCAGTAAAGAGGAGACCAGACTATTATCAGTAGAGAGGAGACCAGGACTATTTATCAGTAGAGAGGAGACCAGAGACCCAGACTATTATCAGTAGAGAGGAGACCAGACTATTTATCAGTAGAGAGGAGGACCAGACTATTATCAGTAGAGAGGGACCAGACTATTATCAGTAGAGAGGGACCAGACATTTATCAGTGAGAGGCCAGACCAGACTATTATCAGTAGAGAGGAGACCAGACTATTATCAGTAGAGAGGAGACCAGACTATTATCAGTAGAGAGGAGACCAGACTATTATCAGTAAAGAGGAGAACCAGACTATATCAGTAAAGAGGAGACAGACTATTATCAGTAAAGAGGAGACCAGACTATTATCAGTAAAGAGGAGACCAGGACTATTATCAGTAGAGAGGGAGACCAGACTATTATCAGTAGAGAGGAGACCAGACTATTATCAGTAAAGAGGAGACCAGACTGTTATCAGTAGAGAGGAGGGACCAGAACCAGACTATTATCAGTAGAGAGGGGACCAGACTGTTATCAGTAGAGAGGGAGACCAGACTATTATCAGTAGAGAGGAGACCAGACTATTATCAGTAGAGAGGAGACCAGACTATTATCAGTAGAGAGGAGACCAGACTATTATCAGTAGAGAGGAGACCAGACTGTTATCAGTAGAGAGGAGACCAGACTATTATCAGTAGAGAGGAGACCCAGACTATTATCAGTAAGAGGAGACCAGACTATTATCAGTAGAGAGGAGACCAGACTATTATCAGTAGAGAGGAGACCAGACTATTATCAGTAGAGAGGAGACCAGACTATTATCAGTAGAGAGGAGACCAGACTATTATCAGTAGAGAGGAGACCAGACTATTATCAGTAGAGAGGAGACCAGACTATTATCAGTAGGACGAGGGAGACCAGACTATTATCAGTAGCGAGGAGACCAGACTATTATCAGTTCGATGGGGACCAGAGACCAGACTATTATCAGTAGAGAGGAGACCGGACCAATATTATCAGGTAAAGAGGAGACCGACTATTATCAGTTAGAGAGGAGACCCAGACTATTATCAGTATTGAGTCTAGGGCCCAGCGACCAGACCTTTCGGGAGAACCAGACTTATTATCCCCAGTTTAAAGAGGGAGACCAGACTATTATCAGTAGAGGGAGACCCCAGACTTTGTCAGTAAGAGGAGACCAGAGACCAGCTATTTTCAGTAGAGGAGGAGAACCAGACTATTATCAGTAGAGAGAGGAAGACCAGGACTATTATCAGTAAAGAGGAGAACCAGACTATTATCAGTAAAGAGCGAGACCAGACTATTATCAGTAGAGAGGAGGACCAGGACTGTTATCAGTAGAGAGGAGACCAGACTATTATCAGTAGAGAGGGAGACCAGACTATTATCAGTAGAGAGGAGACCAGACTTGTTATCAGTAGGAGCGGGACCAGACTATATCAGTAGAGAGGAGACCAGACTATTATCAGTAGAGAGGAGACCAGACTATTATCAGTAGAGAGGAGACCAGACTATTATCAGTAGAGAGGAGACCAGACTATTATCAGTAGAGAGGAGACCAGACTATTATCAGTAGAGAGGAGACCAGAGACTCTGACGTCCTACTCCCTCCCTCTCTCCCCTGCTGTTGCTAAGCTGCTGTAGTCTACTACTACCCCCCTGTTGGACTGCGGAGACTTGAGTTATGTATACACACACACATGTGGATGCACGCACGCACACTGGAGTGTACAAGTCCAGTAGAGGACACTAGCTGGTACTGCTTCACTGCCAGAGGTCCAATCTTACTCCCCCCTTGTACGCAAACACATACACACAAACACACACTGAGTCTGGGAGCAGAGCGTTAGTAGCAGAGTATCTCTTCACTGTGAGAGAGCAAATGGTTGTAGACGGGGATGCTTTCAGATAAACGTCTCCTCTCTGAAACCACATCATCGCAACTCTAAGAATTACTCAGGAAAACAAATACTGTGGCCTTGTGTAGACTGGGGGTGATACAGGTACCTACACTGAACAAAATAAAGGTTCTTAAATGGTTATTCGTCAGCTCTTAAGGTGCCTTGGAGAACTCTTGCCCGATAACGAACCTTTGAGTGTGGGGTTCTTGACGTGGCATCTATGGTTCTTCAGAATTCTAAAAGGTTCTTGAAATGTATGGATGCCTGCAAATGAGTCCCTTTCATAGCACACAGCAAATTGGCCAGTTTTAACTACTGTTGATTTTTCTGTGTAACATTTCTAGTGTTGATTCAAGAGTTAAATTCATACTGTAAAGAGTTACATTAACACGCAGTGGTGTAAAATAACCCCAGTGTTGATGTTAGTAACCAGAGTTGAACCAAAACCACGCACATCATTATCCTATTTCCCAGCATGCTCTATTGCAGGCTGATTTTTAGAATTGTTGGTCTCAATATCTATGTTTTTGCATGTACATTGATTGATTAATTAATCTCATACTACTCAAATATAGATAACATACATTTTTCTATTCCGATCTGTTACTTGGACTTATTGCACCAGTTACTGAAATGGTTGTTCCAGTTTAGATGTTTAAGGTAGTCTCATATCTTAGTCTTCCCAACCCTGGCAGTCATTCTGAATGCAGGTTGTGGGAGAATAAAAATTCAAAATGTTGGATATCCCCACTCTGGCTGGATTCCAATAGGAAATTCACATCACTTTGCAAACCAGCATAATGTGACTTGCAGGCCTGATGTGGCCTGTAAACTATGAGTTTCAGGCCATTGTATTAGGGTAGAACTAGGCCTTAAAAAGAAGGCCTTATAAAATATGTATTGATTGTCTTAAATAATAAAAATGGTGAAGGCCACAGGACTGCAACAACCACGTATCTGTCTCTAGCAAACACAGTCATGGGTGGCAATAGTAACTCTAAAATTCACTTAGAGGGCTCCCTGGGAACTATGCAAATGAGGCTTAACACCCTACAACACAACAGGAGAAAGCGTGTATTGACAGGGGTCACGTTTTATATTGAAAGTCAAGTGTTTTTTTTTACTTCAATAGAGTGACCAGGGACGTACAACTATAGTTTTCCTTCACAGAAAATACATTAGTGCAACACATTAGGCAGACAATAGCTTAATTTTCATCAGATGACAACACAACTTTATTTGGGTGGCAGCCATACAAGTAAGAGCTTACAATGAAAAAGCAAGGTCTTGTTTGCAAAAAATGATGCATTCTAATGTTTATCATAGAAAAGCCAGCTACATTTCCTATTGTTTTTCTTAAAGTTAATCTTGCATTTTACTGGCGAAAAGTAGGCTGGCTACACCCAGAAAAGTAGAGAAGAAAAGTTGCTCCACATCAGTCAGAGCGCTGTCCAGTGATAGAAAGCCTGTTCGTGAATTATAATCCGAGTGGAGAAGTGCAAATTTAAGCACAACATTAGTCTGATGCCGAGCAGAAATTACAATAAGAAGCATTTTACATCTGCGTTTACAAAACGCAGCAAGATATTTCTGAATTTTTCCTACCTGAAAAACTCAGAATTCTGATTTAACGCGACCCCTAATTTGAACTTCCTAGTAATCTAAGTAAGTGACTGAATTAATAAAGTGACGGGGCATCATATTGTATTAGCTTTCTGCCGTGTTTGAGAAGTCAAAGCCCTTTGGATGATTGCCTTGCGTTTTTCCTCCTCTCCGTTCTCCACCCGTCTTCTCCTCCCCCCCTGGAATGCCTGTCTTTACAATTAGTTAATTTTTGTTTACACTCGTTAGCATATTTAGCTAACAGCCTCCATGGAAATGCACCCCCTTGAGTACTAAGCCGGTAATACTGTATATCCCGGGATGAAAGAAGGACGGTATGATGATAAGAACATCTGGATACCGCCCAATCCTATTTGGTTCCAACTTGCTTCTTTATTTTTAAGAGTGTACATCTGCTTAAAGGGAAAAACGTAAAGCCATCAAGCAAAATGATGGATCTTATAATGGATCCAATGTCCACAATAATGGATCTAATACGGATGATTATGACATGACGCTATGAGATTAGAAAGAAATAGTCTCAATAGAAGTCACTGGAGAAAAGCCTCTATGACTAAATAATGTATTGAAGAGAGAATACAGAGAATACAAGGAACATGTCCTTGGTTTGTGTCTTGCTGTTATGTGTTAGAGGGAAAAAGACTGAGATGTTCTTCTTACCGATGTGTTTTCCGTACATGTGGAAGAAGAAGCCAAAGCAGTATGCCGGGGGGTTGGTGATGCCGTACGGGTTCTTGGGTGCCACGTTGAAGAAGGGACTGACAAGTCTCGCTACCTCGCCCTCCTTCCGAGGCCGGGACGTCTCGATGTACATGTAGAAACCTGTAGGGTGGGGAGAACACAACATCAAATAACAAGGTTATACCTGTAGGGTGGGGAGAACACGACATCAAATAACAAGGTTATACCTGTAGGGTGGGGAGAACACAACACCAACTAACAAGGTTATACTGTAGGGTGGGAGACAACACTAAATAACAAGGTTATACCTGTAGGGTGGGGAGAACACAACACTAAATAACAAGGTTATACCTGTAGGGTGGGGAGAACACAACACTAAATAACAAGGTTATACCTGTAGGGTGGGGAGAACACAACAACAAATAACAAGGTTATACCTGTAGGGTGGGAAGAACACAACACCAAATAACAAGGTTATACCTGTAGGGTGGGGAGAACACAACATCGAATAACAAGGTTATACCTGTAGGGTGGGGAGAACACAACATCAAATAACAAGGTTATACCTGTAGGGTGGGGAGAACACAACACTAAATAACAAGGTTATACCTGTAGGGTGGGGAGAACACAACAACAAATAACAAGGTTATACCTGTAGTGTGGAGAGAACAAAACACTAAATAACAAGGTTATACCTGTAGGGTGGGGAGAACACAACAACAAATAACAAGGTTATACCTGTAGTGTGGAGAGAACAAAACACTAAATAACAAGGTTATACCTGTAGGGTGGGGAGAACACAACAACAAATAACAAGGTTATACCTGTAGTGTGGGGAGAACACAACACTAAATAACAAGGTTATACCTGTAGGTTGGGGAGAACACAACATCGAATAACAAGGTTATACCTGTAGGGTGGGGAGAACACAACATCAAATAACAAGGTTATACCTGTAGGGTGGGGAGAACACAACAACAAATAACAAGGTTATACCTGTAGTGTGGGGAGAACACAACACCAAATAACAAGGTTATACCTGTAGGGTGGGGAGAACACAACACCAAATAACAAGGTTATACTTGTAGGGTGGGGAGAACACAATACCAAATAACAAGGTTATACTTGTAGGGTGGGGAGAACACAATACCAAATAACAAGGTTATACCTTTAGGGTGGGGAGAACACAATACCAAACAACAAGGTTTTACCTTTAGGGTGGGGAGAACACAATACACCACACCAAATAACAAGGTTAGTTACCCCTGTACCAAATGGTGAAGATTGAGGCCGAGACATTAGTATAAAATTACATCTGTGGAGTATCAAGATCACCAATGTGTTTCTCATTAAAGATTACTCCCACAAACATATTTAACCTTTATTAGTTGATGTTTTAATTTCATCCAAGTCTGCCCTTTTCTACAGCTTTTCCTTAATAACTCCACACCCGACAGCAGGTGTCCTCAAATGAAACTCACTCAGTGGGCCCTGAACACATAAAAGACAACCTTTTATCCAGCCAACACTGTCGTTCCCTACAAGCATATTTTGGCATCTCTGTCTATGTATTTGGAGTCTGTAGCAGAGAATTATGTTGGCCAAGTGGGACAGAGAACGGGGGGGGGGGGGGGGGGGGGTGGATCTGTCTAAAACCACACCAGAGGGCCAGGCTGTCTTTAGGACCCAAGCAGTACTGCTGTGTGACTGGCTCTGTTGTTGCTAGGCATGACTCTTAACAGTCACAAATTGCCGTTAAATCACATATGGAAACTCTTGATTGTGCTCTTTGTAATCTGAAAAAGATCTCTCAAAACGTATTTTTAAATTGTTGCGGTTACTTTGTCCACTGCATGACAATACTGTATGTTTAGGAGAATAAAATGTCCCCCAGAGCACATGATATAGAGGATGTACGGAACAAGCCCTCAATATTTTATAATCCTTTGGGATGGAAATGGCGGCTCCATCCAGCTAGTAGTGAAACAGTGGAAGTCAATTTCCACTAAAGACCTCTCTTCTAAACAGACACTAACCGGAGGGCAGAGGGGACAGAAGAGATGACCATATCTCACGGTAATATGACACCTTCACGGGAGAAGCAGCAGTGAAACTAACCTTTCCCTCACATGGCCCGAGTCTCATTCCAGACCCAATCTACAGTCCCACTTTGGGGCAGGGGAAGGTAGCTAGGACGGAGAAAAAGCTTTCATACCCTCCAGCCAAAATCAAATAAAATGTCTTAATCTGTTGAATTTGATATCAGATAATTGCAGCCTCTTAGGACTGGTGGGCTGGTAATGAAATGCTGGACAGTTTCAACTCATTACAGTGATTAAAGCCAGTATGTTATTTATTACTTCAGCTGTTGCTACTAGAGCTGTCCATTCCTGTAAAGACTAGATCAATGCTCACTCTCCCTCAGGACTGACACACAGGCCAACTGCCACCGTTTCTTGCAGAGGGTGTTCTGTCAAACAGTGAAACAATTTTGCCTGCGTTTAGACTGTATCAATCTCTCATATTGAACACTAGCAGGCAACTCTCTGTCAGGCACTGTCCCCATGGAAACCAGAGAGAGAGAGAGGAGGGGTTAGAGAGAGAGAGCGAGACAGAGAGAGTTGAGACAGAGAGAGAGAGAGAGAGAGAGAGAGAGAGAGAGACAGACAGACAGACAGACAGACAGACAGACAGACAGACAGACAGACAGACAGACAGACAGACAGACAGACAGACAGACAGACAGACAGACAGACAGACAGACAGAGCAGGAGCGAGAGCGAGAGCGAGAGAGAGAGAGAGAGAGAGAGAGAGAGAGAGAGAGAGAGAGAGAGATGAGTACCATGAAAGTGAGAGTGCTTAATTGTTTGTTGCATGTTCCATTGTGTTGATATTGACATGTGTTATTGATTGGCCGTGTGTAGTGTGTGTTGTTAATACAGTATCTGTACTGAGTTGACTACCAGGGTCAAGACTAAAATATTACTCAGAAAGACCTGGAAGTCTACCTGGAAGCCAATCGTTCCAATACGCTGTGAAAGAACATGCGTCACAAACAGATACATGTAACATAACCAATTAAAAATAAGTGTAAAAAATACTCTAGCTAGTTAAGCTGGCTAACATAGTTAACTGTGGGGCAAAACAATTCCCTTATGACCTTCTTTGTCGCATTGAAGATTCCCAAACACAGTGCACCTAAAATCCTAATGACATCACAATAAAACATACTGTAGCTGTGTTTTCCTTCCTGGGTTTGCTTACCCTGTTTGGATCCGCTGCGGTCGCCACTAGGCCCGGTGTTGGGCGTGTACTTGGTGTCACGGGTGGCGGCGCTGTGTCTCGTCCAATCGAAGTCGTCGTTCTTGTCCTGTGTGAACATACAGATGGGCTCCTCCTCGAAGCTGCAGTGGAACTCTCCTGAAGCACGGGTCAGAAAACCACTGTTACAGTCATCATTGGAATATAAATACTAGAACCTCATCATATAATGTCTACAGTAGTAGATGAAAACTGCAGTAACTCTCATGGAGCACGGGTCGAGAAATGCTCTTATAATCACAATATAGTCCAAATGTAGGTACAAATCAGAGGAGGCTGGTGGGAGGAGCTATAGGAGGATGGGCTCATTGTAATGGCTGGAATGGAATAAATGGAACGGTATCAAACACATGGAAACCACATGTATGACTCTGTTCCATTAATTCCATTCAAGACATTACAATGAGCCCGTCCTCCTATAGCTCCTCCCACAAGCCTCCTCTGGTACAAATGGAAATACTTGATAGAACCTCCTCATGGTATTGACCATGACATTGGCTACTGAACCATGAATGAATAGCAGCGGTGCATTCTATATTCTTATGTTGATCATGTGAGTAAACACCGGTCAATGGATACTGCTATGCATGTCTACCAATGAGTGCACGACTAAGGTTCTGAGAATGAGTTCACCCAATGAATGGCTTCAGATAGCTGACCATGAATCTAGTGGGACCATGAATGACTGCTGTGCAATGCATTCTATAAGAGGACATACTGTTGAAGTTAATCATGTGGAAATCAACACAGGCCGATGCATGTGTGTCTAACAATGAGAGAGCTACAGGTTACTGCCAAAAAAAAGGAAACATCAACAGAACAGCTTCAAAACTCCTTGGCTGTGTTCGAATACTCATTCTAACCGCACTAACCATACTATTTGTGACGTAGATTGAATATGTAGTAAGCTTATTGGTCATAGTATGGATATACACTGCTCAAAAAAATAAAGGGAACACTTAAACAACACAATGTAACTCCAAGTCAATCACACTTCTGTGAAATCAAACTGTCCACTTAGGAAGCAACACTGATTGACAATAAATTTCACATGCTGTTGTGCAAATGGAATAGACAACAGGTGGAAATTATAGGCAATTAGCAAGACACCCCCAATAAAGGACTGGTTTTGCAGGTGGTGACCACAGACCAATTCTCAGTTCCTATGCTTCCTGGCTGATGTTTTGGTCACTTTTGAATGCTGGCGGTGCTTTCACTCTAGTGGTAGCATGAGACGGAGTCTACAATCCACACAAGTGGCTCAGGTAGTGCAGCTCATCCAGGATGGCACATCAATGCGAGCTGTGGCAAGAAGGTTTGCTGTGTCTGTCAGCGTAGTGTCCAGAGCATGGAGGCGCTACAAGGAGACAGGCCAGTACATCAGGAGACGTGGAGGAGGCCGTAGGAGGGCAACAACCCAGCAGCAGGACTGCTACCTCCGCCTTTGTGCAAGGAGGAGCGAGCAGGAGGAGCACTGCCAGAGCCCTGCAAAATGACCTCCAGCAGGCCACAAATGTGCATGTGTCTGCTCAAACGGTCAGAAACAGACTCCATGAGGGTGGTATGAGGGCCCGACGTCCACAGGTGGGGGTTGTGCTTACAGCCCAACACCGTGCGGGATGTTTGGCATTTGCCAGAGAACACCAAGATTGGCAAATTCGCCACTGGCGCCCTGTGCTCTTCACAGATGAAAGCAGGTTCACACTGAGCACGTGACAGACGTCACAGAGTCTGGAGACGCCGTGGAGAACGTTCTGCTGCCTGCAACATCCTCCAGCATGACTGGTTTGGTGATGGGTCAGTCATGGTGTGGGGTGGCATTTCTTTGGGGGGCCGCACAGCCCTCCATGTGCTCGCCAGAGGTAGCCTGACTGCCATTAGGTACCGAGATGAGATCCTCAGACCCCTTGTGAGACCATATGCTGGTGCGGTTGGCCCTGGGTTCCTCCTAATGCAAGACAATGCTAGACCTCATGTGGCTGGAGTGTGTCAGCAGTTCCTGCAAGAGGAAGGCATTGATGCTATGGACTGGCCCGCCCGTTCCCCAGACCTGAATCCAATTGAGCACATCTGGGACATCATGTCTCGCTCCATCCACCAATGCCACGTTGCACCACAGACTGTCCAGGAGTTGGCGGATGCTTTAGTCCAGGTCTGGGAGGAGATCCCTCAGGAGACCATCTGCCACCTCATCAGGAGCATGCCCAGGCGTTGTAGGGAGGTCATACAGGCACGTGGAGGCCACACACACTACTGAGCCTAATTTTGACTTGTTTTAAGGATATTACATCAAAGTTGGATCAGCCTGTAGTGTGGTTTTCCACTTTAATTTTGAGGGTGACTCCAAATCCAGACCTCCATGGGTTGATAAATTTGATTTCCATTGATAATTTTTGTGTGATTTTGTTGTCAGCACATTCAACTATGTAAAGAAAAAAGTATTTAATAAGATTATTTCATTCATTCAGATCTAGGATGTGTTATTTTAGTGTTCCCTTTATTTTTTTGAGCAGTGTAGTTAGTATGCCAAAATTCCCCGATGTTGTTTTACATTCGCCAACATTCAAAATATACAAGCAGTGGACACTATTTCCGTGCCTTTAGGGCAAACAATGCAATTCTTCAGATTTGAAGAAAATGACGGAAAATATGCAGCCGAAGTCCAACGAGGACGGATACAAATGTAAGTACAAAAAGTTAATATTCATTGCTTTAACTAATTAAGACAAATGTTAAGAAAATATTGAGCAATGTCATAAAAAAGTAATGACTTTTCAAATAAGTTACATTACAGGTTATGTTGGCTGACAATTTGTTAGTTACGCTATCTGTAAGGGTTGGGGTGAGGTGTGACCCAGGTGCGGTGCAGGAATACAGTAGGCAGTAGGCAGAGATGGTGAAACAAGGATCTTTACTGGTGGTCCCGATGCCAGAATACAAAATAACAGACTTATCACGATAAAAGAAAGGCGGAGCAAATAAGCCAAAATACGAAATACTACCTACGACTGAAACAAATCACGAAACAGGGATTCATAGGTCTTCATTCAGACACTGAGTAGTACTGCTGGACATAGAGAAACTAACAGAGAAAACTGAGCAAAGGAACACAGGGCATAAATACACAGGTGAACAGTTAGACACAGGTGACACCAATAGGGTATTGATTAGTCCAGACTGTGAGTGAGGAGGTGCCTAAGGTTGTCGGAGGATGACACCTAGTGGGTCGCTCTGGAACTGTGGCCCCCTCCTGTAACAGCTATCCTTACGAACCGCATAGCATATCTATACAGCAGTTGCTTGTATGTACCAGTATGTTAGCTAGCTAACTAACGTTAGTTGGATACTAATATATCGAACTTGCCAGTATATGAACTATTCCATAGTTGTGTGTGGTATGTCTGTCTCGAGCTGCATACAGTGCATTGCGTGTCGAGTTGAGCCATATAGGGTTTAACATACAGTGCCTCGCAAAAGTATTCATCCCTCTTGGCGTTTTTCCTATTTTGTTGCAATACAACCTGTAATTTAAATGGATTTTTATTTGGATTTCATGTAATGGACATACACAAAATAGTCTAAATTGGTGAAGTGAAATGAAAAAAATAACTTGTTTAAAAAATTCAAAAAAATAAATACAGGAAAAGTGGTGCGTGCATATGTATTCACCCCCTTTGCTATGAAGCCCCTAAATAAGATCTGGTGCAACCAATTACCTTCAAAAGTCACATAATTAGTTAAATAAAGTCCACCTGTGTGCAATCTAAGTGTCATATGATCTGTCACATGATCTCAGTATATATACACCTGTTCTGAAAGGCCCCAGAGTCTGCAACACCACTAAGCAAGGGGCACCACCAAGCAAGCGGCACCATGAAGAACAAGGAGCTCTCCAAACAGGTCAGGGACAAAGTTGTGGAGAAGTACAGATCAGGGTTGGGTTATAAAAAAATATCCGAAACTTTGAACATCCCACGGAGCACCATTAAATTCATTATTCAAAAATGGAAAGAATATGGCAACACAACAAACCTGCCAAGAGAGGGCCGCCCACCAAAATTCACGGACCAGGCAGCAGGGCATTAATCAGAGAGGCAACAAAGAGACCAAAGATAACCCTGAAGGAGCTGCAAAGCTCCACAGCGGAGATTGGAGTATCTGTCCATAGGACAGCTTTAAGCCGTACACTCCACAGAGCTGGGCTTTACGGAAGAGTGGCCAGAAAAAAGCCATTGCTTAAAGAAAAAAATAAGCAAACACGTTTGGTGTTCACCAAAAGGCATGTGGGAGACTCCCCAAACATATGGAAGAAGGTACTCTGGTCAGATTAGACTAAAATTTAGCTTTTTGGCCATCAAGGAAAACGCTATGTCTGGCGCAAACCCAACACCTATCATCACCCCGGGAACACCATCCCCACAGTGAATCATGGTGGTGGCAGCATCATGCTGTGGTGATGTTTTTCATCGGCAGGGACTGGGAAACTGGTCAGAATTGAAGGAATGATGGATGGCGCTAAATACAGGGAAATCCTTGAGGGAAACCTGTTTCAGTCTTCCAGAGATTTGAGACTGGGACGGAGGTTCACCTTTCAGCAGGACAATGACCCCAAGCATAATGCTAAAGCAACACTCGAGTGGTTTAAGGGGAAACATTTAAATGTCTTGGAATGGCCTAGTCAAAGCCCAGACCTCAATCCAATTGAGAATCTGTGGTATGACTTAAAGATTGCTGTACACCAGCGGAACCCATCCAACTTGAAGGAGCTGGAGCAGTTTTGCCTTGAAGAATGGGCAAAAATCCCAGTGGCTAGATGTGCCAAGCTTATAGAGACATACCCCAAGAGACTTGCAGCTGTAATTGCTGCAAAAGGTGGCTCTACAAAGTATTGACTTTGGGGGGGTGAATAGTTATGCACGCTCAAGTTTTCTTTTTTTTGTGTCTCTTTCTTGTTTGTTTCACAAGAAAAAATATTTTGCATCTTCAAAGTGGTAGGCATGTTGTGTAAATCAAATGAAACAAACCCCCAAAAAATCAATTTTAATTCCAGGTTGTAAGGCAACAAAATAGGAAAAATGCCAAGGGGGGTGAATGCTTTGGCAAGCCACTGTAGGAATGGAC